CCATTTATTAATTTACATACAATAACAATGACGTGAGTTTGACATTTACATAAGATAAGAATGACATGAGTCAGATATGTTTATATTTTGAAATGATAAACGATACTGATTTTATTATCATCGCATTAATACGATTGTAGCAGTATGCAAATTATTATTTTGCAAGCACAATATTAAAACACATGGTTCAATCCGAAACTTTATATAGAGTGTATGGTTCATTATCTTAGGAACTTTTCTACTTATGTTATTTACGGTCTTGCTCACTTTATCTCCACTTCGCTATTAATTATAAACATACATGCTCGACAGCATTTCTTCGCGATTTTATGATATAGTTTTATGATATTTTATGATATTGATATAGAGTATAGTATATTAAAGTGAAGAAATGAGATTTCTCATTCGGTTGATTTTAACGTGGCAAATTTGTGCTAAATAGGCATAGAATTATATTAATTAAGACTATATATTTATTAAAAGCATAAAATAAAATTTTATTTATTAAATTGAAAGGAATTAGGCTTTATATGTATTTAAACAACACGACAAGAAACTAGCAAATAAGAGCCAACGCGGATGGTAATGCGTAAATTTTAATTGTTCGCGATAATTTAAACAAGCACGAGACATATGCATATGTTTCACTTGGTGCATTTACCAAGATATAGATTCTCATTTTTGAGAATTCTATAAATCCTCTTTACCCCCCCCCCCCGCCCTGAAGAGATGTAGACGAGAAAAATATCAGGGCCAAGTCGCTGAATCGGGAATCGAACCCGAGTCTTTCGCTTGCCGAGCGACTGCTCTTACCACTGAGCTTTTCAGCCCCACACCGATATCCCCCTCATTTATTTGTTTATATCTATGGAAATAATGAAACGCGATCTTTTCAGCTCCGCGTGAATTAAATAAATTGAAAGGAATTAGGCTCTATATGTATTTAAACAACACGACAAGAAACTAGCGAATAAGAACCTTTTAATTTATTTAATTCACGCGGGTCTGAAATAATCGCGTTTCATTATTTCCATAGATATAAACAAAGAGATAAGGGGGATATACGTGTGGGGCTGAATAGCTCAGTGATAAGAGCAGTCGCCCGGCAAGCGAAAGACTCGGGTTCGATTCACGATTCAGCGACTTTGCCCCGATACTTTTCTCGTCTACATCAGTTCAGGGGGGGGGTAAAGAGGGTTTATAGAATTCTCAAAAATGAGAATCTATATCTTGGTAAATGCACCAAGTGAAACATATGCATATGTCTCGTGCTTGTTTAAATTATCGCGAATAATTAAAATTTATGCATTACCATCCGCGGTGACACTTATTCGCTAGTTTCTTGTCGTTTTATTTATTATTGCTTATCTTTAAATTACATTAATAAATGTTCAATACATTAATAAGTTTTAAATAAACTTTAAATAAAAAATAATTTGCATGTCATAATATAAATGCGTTACATTTTACGAAATTGCATCACCCTTTTCTTAACAACTTACAAAATTACAAATTGTTACAAATTTTTATAATTTACAAATTATTTACACATATCTATAATTGACCTTTCGATTATTCCGATATCGCAAAAACCTGATTAAAAAATTAGTTATAATAAATTTATGCTCTTTGTTAAATATGCATTTAATGCTTATCAACCTTTTTATTAAATTTTGGATTTATTGAAATAGATTAACAATGAGTCTTTATGAAATATTATTTTTTCTTTTTTAGCAAACATTGCTGTAAATAATTGATTGGCAACAGCAGAACAATGGGACCTTTTGAAATACTATGCGGTATTGCGGCTATATTTCTCGCTGCTTATTATTATTTTACATCAAACTACGATTTTTGGAAGTCACGTGGCATTCACGGTCCAAAACCGATACCAGTTTTTGGTAATGTTAAAGACGTTATGCTTAATAAAAAGTTCGCAGGAGAGTATTTAATGGATATATACAATGAGTATAAAAATGAATCCATGATTGGAATATTCACAAGAAAAACACCTGTTCTGATTGTAAAAGATCCAGATTTAATTAAGGATATTCTTATCAAAGATTTTTCTAAGTTCGCCGATAGAGGACTTCCTGTCAGTGAAAAAGTATGTAGATAATTTAAATTTTATTATAATATTGTAATTATATAAAGATGATAACTTTACATATATTACGATATTTTCCAATAATCAAAATTATTCAAAAGATTATATTAATTTTAAATAGCCTTAAGTTTTTTCAACTATTATTAAATTATTTTTAATTATTATTAAATTATTATAATTTAATGAAATTGATAAATTTATTTGACTGTAATTGTTTTCTATTATATCGTAGGCTGATCCACTGTCCCAACATCTTTTCGCTTTAGAGCCTAAAAGATGGCGACCTTTAAGGATAAAGTTGTCGCCCGTTTTTACATCTGGTAAGCTAAAAGAAATGTTCTCTTTAATATCGGAATGCGCCGATCATTTTGAACAATATATTGAGAAATTGGTGAGCAAAAACGAGCCTATAGAATGCCGCGAGGTAACGGCAAAATATACGACCGATGTAATCGGTACTTGTGCATTCGGCATCGAAATGAATGCTCTATCAGACGAAGACAGTGAATTTCGTAGGATGGGAAGAATGGTCTTCACGCCAACCTGGCAAAATATTTTACGGATGAGAATAAGACAAGCCCTTCCATGGCTCGACGAAATGCTCAGTTATATCCTACCACAATCGGAGGTCAATCAATTTTTCACACGTGTTGTCATAGAAACTATGAATTATAGAGAAACAAATAATGTCATTAGGCATGATTTCATTGATATGCTGCGCGAGTTAAAAAAGAATCCAGATAAAGTGGGTGATATCAGTAAGTAACGACTGTATATTTTTATGAAAATTTTCTGTGATATAAGAAAGTTTTAAAATGATAATTTTTTAAATTTTTGACAATGTTTATGAGTTTTTGTATATATATATTTATAGATTAATAGTAATATATATTAATATTATACGTTACTTGTAGCTTAATAGTAGATTACTCATAATTTGTAATTTTCGATGTAATATTTAAAGAATTAAAATTAATTGTGAAAAAATATCGTTTTTCAGAGCTGACCGAAAGCTTGATAGCTGCTCAAGCGTTCGTATTTTTCCTTGCCGGTTTTGAAACTTCATCGACGACTATGAGTCATGCGCTTTACGAATTGGCATTAAATCAACAAATACAAGATAAGCTACGTGAGGAAATTGAGCAAGAATACACTAAACACGGTAGCAATTTAACATATGAAAACGTAAAAGAGATGAATTACTTAGATAAAGTTTTCAAAGGTACATCATTCAAAAAAAATAATTTAATAATTTGATATTAATTTTCAGTAGCATTATAATATCAATAATTTTATTGCTAATAAATTTTAATACATATATGTACACATTTCGATAATTTATACTTCACAAACAAATTTTCAAATAATTCTTCCTTATATTATTTTTAATATATGCAGAAACTTTACGAAAATATCCACCAGTGACATTTCTTATGCGACGATCGACATCAAGTTATACTTTCGATGGTACTACACTTGATATAACAAAAAATCAAAAAGTATGGATTCCGATTTTCGCGATTCATCGAGATCCGGATATTTATCCGAAGCCAGATACTTTTGATCCAGAAAGATTTAATGACGAAGCAATACAAACCAGGCATCCGATGCACTATCTACCTTTTGGTGATGGTCCAAGAAATTGTATTGGTAAAGTGATATACGTATATTTAAATACATTTCTTTCAGTTTTCTTTGTTTTGTTTTTACATGTAATATTATTTTAATCGAGAAATTTTTTTTATAATTTTCTTTATTTTCAGGTGCTCGCTTTGCTGTTTATCAGACAAAGATTGGTCTTATCAAGATGCTACGAAATTATAAAGTAGAAGTTTGCGATAAAACGCAAATACCCTACATAATTGAGCCTAAAACATTCCTATTAGCACCAAAGGATGGAATACACTTAAGTATAATTCAAATTAATCGAACTTAATTTAAGCTTTATTAAAATTCTTAAGAAACAATGGTGGAAAAATATCTATAAATTAGAATAATAATAACCATATCCCGATAACATCAATATATTTTAATAATATTGTTCCTAATATTGTTATCTTGTTATACTTTTTATAGTGTATATAATATTTAATAATTTGATTTAATTAATTTTAATTTATATTGTTACATACGTAATATGGATATAACCTGATTAATTTTAAGTTTTAATTATATGTATACATTGCACATAGAAAGTGAACTATGTAATGTAAATATATAAAATATTGACAAATAATGTAAAACAATTTGTATGCAAAAATATTTTTTGTAAATAAAAATAATAAAATGTTACATAAATATGTTATATAAAATATATTAAAATGCATAAAAAATATATATGTTGTACATAAAAATAATTAAAAATTAAATAAAACTAAAAATGTTCATTAATGTTCTTTTTACGAAAAATATTCATAATTATCTTTTGAATTAAAATATCTAAAATAAAAGATCTTTCGTGAGTTAATATATCATATTAAAACACTATACACAGATCATTTCTAAAAAACTATTATGATGTTATTTTTAATTTTTAATTAAACTTCTACGATATTTATTGTTAAAAGTAATATAATAATTATGATCAAAGATAAAATTGAGTTATATTTAACTAAGACGAAATCGATTACGTTAATTTAAACCTTATTTTTTAAAATCTTCAAGAAGTTTTACTAATGTATAATAACATAAAAATATATATGAAGAAGTATGTTGAAACATTTTTCTTTTCCGATTTTAGAACATACAAAAATAACAAAAAAAATAACAAATTATATGCATATTTTCGACACAGATTTAACATTTTTTTAATGTGCGAACATTTTGCGATAATTAATATATTATTCATCTCTATAATTAAAACTACAAAAAAATCACAAGACACAATTAATTAAAAAATGTATATAATAATAATTCGCTATACCTCTTTTCGAAATAATGACTTATCTTTTTACTCTTCGAGATTTCCCTCGTTAGCTTTCTCAGCTATTCCGGGGCCTCGAATTCTTTCTGTATTTTGTGAAGAAGGCTGCGGAAATTATGAAGAAGCTGGCCAGATCTCACTTTCTGGGTATTCACTTCTTCTATTTCCTTCTTCTTTCCAAATGGACAGATCAATGCAATCATCGATTTCTCGATGTTTGCCGTGCCAGGATCTCAGAATGAAAGAAGATGAGCAAAGACGAGGCTCTCACACTTCGATCATTATGGATTGGTATGCGCATTATATTAGTTAAACATTTGCATGCGTCAAATTGAGGGAAACAAACTTTGCCTTTAATGGCGGCAGTTCAAATTTGATTATCACTTGTTACAATTTTTCTCCTTTTATACAACAAACTAGTGATGTGTGGAGCGTAAAGTAATCGTCAATAACTAATTCAAATTAGCTTACGGCTATGTCACATACCAATACGTCAAACATTAATTACAATTTAACTAATCCTATGAAGATATTTTTGTTATTACCTGATTCTACGTATCATTCATACCTTTCACACATATATACATCAATATTACTAATAAAAATATACGCACACACTTACTGGAATCATCATTAACAATAATTCAAAAATAGTTTAGAGAGAAACCAAACACATACATAATATTATGTTTTCTTACTTTTTGGAACATTATTTTTATCACTGTAATATTTTCGGAGATTGCGACGATTATAAATGCCTATTTCCCTTTATTCATTTTGATGATCAACTAATAAAAACGCATTTTCATCAATATACTGAATTATTTTATATGAATCTTCAAAAAGATGAAAAAATTTGTCAACTACCTTATCAAAGGCATTGGAGAGATGTCTTATCCTTAACAGAACCAAATCTCTAACTAATAATTTAACCTTCAAAATATTCTCTTATTGCTTTTTACGATATTTGAAATTGTTTTTAAGTTTTCTCTTAGCCATCGTAATGAGATATTGGTGCGAGGGTTTTTCGTTTTCCGGAAATTGAATAAATTTGAGGATTTCATCTTGAACCGATTTACTAAAGTGCAATTCATAAGGTATGAGACCTGTACTCTGATAGATTGTAACATTTAATGAATTTTCGATTGTTGGAACTAATTCCATTTTATATTGTTTTTCCGCAATGTCCTAAAAAATCGACCCAATTCGCGCATCATCCATTCTGTAGGATTAGATTGAGGATGCCTAATCGATCTATATAAAACTTTTTCATATTTTCAGCATTTAAATGTGCTTTCCATAATGCAGACGTGAATTGACTACTATGATTTGATAAAATGCGCATTGGCTGTCCATATTTTGGAATAAACCCATATAGAAATTGGCATCCTGTTAATGTTTATTAAACCATCATAGCTCCATAGAATATTTATCTCCATGGTGGAAGTCAGATAGACATTTATTAGGGATCCATTAAACCGTCATAGCTCTTTGAGATGTTTACATCCACGATGGAAATCAGACAGACATCCATTAAACATTTATCCTACCTCTATAATAAATACCTTCTTGTAGACGTCTATTAGACAATAATTATGGATAATAGATTTACACATAAATAAATAATATTTAAGTAGATAATTAATATTATTAAGATTAATATTTAAGTTTTAACATTAATGGAAATTTAAAAAAATTATAAGTAAAAAAAAATTTTCAGCTAATTTTTCAAGTACATTTAAACATTTACAATTTAATATTTTTATACACATTTTTAATTATTTATAATTTAATTTATAAATAAAATATATTTAAACTGTACATAATTATATAAATTAATTGTATAAATTTTTATATTTTAGGTCTATTAATATAATCACCCAAGATTTATTAGAAAGAAAACTGATGAACTGATAAAAAAATGATAAACGTCCACAATTAAAATCAAATACATACTTCATATGGACCTCTATTAGACATCTTTAACTGACATTGCGTGGATCATTAATAGAGGGCTCATGAAGCCTCGGTAGACGATTGATTTATGTTCTGCGGATCATTAATAGAAGATTCACAAAGCCTCGGTGAACGATTAATCGACGCTCCGTAGTTCATTAATAGAAGATTCGCGAAGCCTCAATGGATGACAAGGAACCAGGTTCTTATAGAAAAATTAGAGCGATAAAAGTTGTATCTTCGTCTGAAAGCAAAGAAGAATCATGCACAGATGTAAATTTACTATTTCCTCCCTCTCTTCCAAAACGTAAGTACACACACAAATCTATTATATCTATTTATGTTACATACACGATTTATGTTACATATACGAAATTTATATTTTACATTTTTTATATTCATGTTTTATTTTATATTAAAAGGTCAGCGATTCTGCGATAAAAGTACAAAATAAAAATTCACTCCTTACATGTTCTCGGAAATTTGTTAAAAGAAACAGCGAATCAAGCAAAACAAAGCAAAAGGTTTCAAATTCGAACCATCAATCATTCTTGCAAGGTATATTTGTTAAATCTCTTTGTAATAATATTGTGGCGTCCCTGACGCTCGCCACACCGAGCGCGATCGCGGGAAGTGCTGACCAGCGTAGTGAAGTTGGCGCAATCTCAATTATAATTAATGCCGCTGAAAGGCGCGACAAATTAAGATTATTTTCTCGCAATTGAAAAACATTGGAAAGTGTATTTATGAAGATGCGGCTGACTTTTTCACCTCTTGTAACCTCGCAGAAATTAGCTTCTAGCTATTTAGCGAAATTATCTTTTGTCCTATTTGAATACCCTCGTGGTTTACCTTATCTCCGAGACCTTCCTGATCCCGAGATCTCCGAGACCTTCCAGATCCTCAAGATCTCCTTTATCCCCTTTTTTAATATCCTGTAAGAAATGATATTATAAGTTTTATACGTTTATGCGCAACTTTACATGCAGCAACAAATTGATAGTATCATATATTAATAAAAGCTGATATATATGTGAAAATTGCGGCTTCAGCATGGTACATGTCCTTCGAAAGGTTTCAACGGGCCAAGGGTGAATTGCAAAGGGCGGTCCGAGGCCATTTATTATCCCCATTAACGTGCTTCTGACCTCACTGTCTACTCCCTCAGGACTTGAACATACCTATAACATACAATCCCCTTTCACTCTCGACAATGCTGCCCTTGTCTCACATTCGAAATATAGTCGACAGCATCGATAGTTTTAGAATTATATGTTCAATCGTGTTTTATCGAGCGTTTGTCTGTTTCGCAATCACGACAATTGATAGTAAAATAATTTATAATTACAAGATTCAATATTTAATTGTTAAAAATAACATGTAAGGGGATTATTTTATTTTATAGCTAAATGATGCTTTTCAAACATGGGTTTTTAAAGAAGAAGAAGAAGAGTTTCTTTAAGAAAAAAAAAAGATGTATAATAATTATTAAAAATATTGCAATAACAATTTGTATATAATATAAAATTACGATGATTACACACACACACACACACACACACAATATAAATAATAATTTTAAATATAATTGCTGCTAAAAATATAATTATCATAAATATATATAAATTATATAAATATATTTTATAAATATATATATAAATTATATAAATATATTTTTAGTGGCAATTAAAAGTATTTAAAGTTATTATTACTATGCACGAGGTTATTATTATCAATGTTATAGTAGCAATAATATTAAAAATAGGAATCTCAACTATATTTTTTTTTATTATGCAATTATTGCCTTTTTTCAATGCATCTTTTTGTGTAATTTGACATATACTTATCATTTATTATGATAATGCCTAAATAATCTCCTACTTGTATGCTATAATTTTTATTTTTTACGTACAATGTCAATATAAAATTTATTTTATTTTATGAATATTAATATTTTTAAGAATTCCTTACATTACATATAACTATTTAGTAAAGTTTAGTATAACTATAGTGTGTGCATATATCTGTATGTATATATCCGATAACATAAATCTTATTATCTATATCTTTAAAATAACATTCACGTTAATCAATGTCTAATTTTCGAAATGTTCCAGAAACTCCGAATAAATCGTCCCGGTTTATTACAGAATTTGATCGAAGAGATTCGTTAACTTTAACTTTTTCTTCCCTCAGGAACCATTCTCTTCGTTCTATCAATTTTGCTTTCCACATATCTGAAACAATATCAAAGAAATTTGAACATCTTTTAGTATATGTTTTACATTCTAAATATATAATGAATATATTTATTTGTATATAAGAAAAAATGTTTTAAATATACATATACAATATATACACACATATAATACATATAAAATAATTAAAGGAATTCTTAGGTTTAGATATTTAATTAAAAGAATTTTTTGTGAAAATAAAATAATTATTGTTAAGCTACATGAAAATTAAAGACAGATAATATTTTTTATTACATATAGATTAATATTCAAGTGAAAATGTTATCATTTATTTTTAATATTTCGTTTTAAATATTTAAAATCGAAATAAAGTCACTGATAAAAAAACATATTTTTAAAGAAGTAAAGAATATTGTACCTGATAAAATATTCAGTGATGGTTGTTCACCGCCATATTCTACTGGTAAAAGAGATCTTGGTATAATCCCATATATTGATTCTATTCCGGACGTATGAAGATGTATCTAAAATATTATAATTGCAGTTAAAACTGTATAATTATTCCAATCCATATACACATGAAATACAAAGTTTCTAGTTTTAAATTATATTCGGTTAACATACTCGGTTAACAAGATTTGCCTTCAATACTGATTTAACTACTGTCAATAAGACATCAAAAAAACTTGGTGTATTTATCACATGAATTGCTTTCATTCTTGGACCGTATGATTCCTATATAGATTGAATAATAAAAATTAATTTTTGTAAAGTATAATTATATGTATTAATTTTTGTAAAGTATATATTATATGTATAGTATATACATATAAGAAATTTTTTTCTTAAATACCAAAACAATGTTGAATTTTTTTGCTGCAACTGGTGTATACTTCAATACATGACCGAAAGTCAAATTGGTACAATCGTAAATTATAATTTCGGAATTAACTATATCCTCCTCTATGCGTGTCTCCACTATCATGGAGCAATATCTGTAATATTTAAAAAAATAGTATATTTTTATTGATTTTATCTTGATATTTTTACAAAGATGAATAAAAATTTGTATAATATTTATATTTTGGGTATATGTGTATATGTATATAGTTATGTAGGTGTATATATATATATATATATATATATATATATATATATACACCTACATAATATTATTGATATTTGATTGATATTATATATATATATATATATATATATATATATATATATATATATAATATCAATCAATTATCATCCATCAAATCTATTAAATAATATTATCTATTAAATAATTAAATAATTTGTTGCCGAGTTGATTCATTTAATAAAAAATATAAAATTATCTAATCTCGAGATGTTGTATAAGAATCCGCACGAAAAAAAGGCCAACAATTTTTTCTGCATTTCCTTTTTTATCTCATTTTATCAAAGTTATTGATTTTAGCTTTTCCTTTCGATGTGTACTGTTGAGGGTAGTGGAATCGTAGTAGACTAGAGGAAAAAATAGGGTGTGAAAGTATCTTGTTTCTATCTCATTATCGATAATAGCAAGCACAAGAGAAAAGGACTTGCATATTTAACTTACACAAAAAGAGAGGGGGGGGCAAAGAAAGAGAGAGAGGGAAGAGAGAGAGAGAAGATTTTACAGATCGTGCAGAATAAAGCGAAAGATCGATTGTGATTGGATCAGCTGGATAGCGCGACCCTGTGAAATTGAAATCGCTTTACATAATAATGTTACATAATAATTTCGTCAGTAAATAAGAGCATCGCGTGAATCAATATAAAAAGCTTGTAAAATGTTGCATACAGCGCAATTTCTTTCTTCCTTTCTTCTTCTTTCCATCGTTAATTATTGTTAATTATTGTGTTTTTATATCCGTGCGTGTCCTCCCTTTTAATTTATATATCTTTTTATAATATTATATTATATTATCCTAAATATAGCGTTTTTTGAGTGTGCTTTTACAACATCTCGTGACTTGCGCATAAATTCTTTCATAGTTATGCACAATCGTGGAAATGCATGATAAGATTCAATAATTCATAAATTTAAAAAAATATAAGAAATATAAAAAAATATAAGAATATATAGTAATTTAATAAAATATAAGAATATGTAATATGTTCATGCTCGCATACGCGGCAAGAGAAATAAGTATAAAAAAGTATTTATATAAAATATTTTTTTATAAAATTAAAAAATTTCCTGTTGCATTAATATTGTTTGTTTGTTTGTTGTACTGTGCATGTATAATACTGTTTTGTTTGCACATATTATGTATATTACGTTTAACTTGTAGATATACGTACTTCATAAAATCATATAGATCAAATACAGAACTGTCGGTATGTAACCACCGTACCATAGTGATTCTATAATTTTCTGGTGTTAATATTGGTAGGGTTACAAATTGTCTGAAAGAAATAAAGAAATATTTGTAACAATACCTCTATGAGTTTTCTTTTTTTCTCTTCTTTTTTTTCTTGAATCAAACATAATCGATCTTAAATGATTGAGCAAAAAATTAACTATGTATAATAATTACGTATAATTATATTTGTGTGTATATTATTATATTATACTATTATATAAAATTGCGATTAATACTTCTAGTGATATAAAATGTTTTTATGATTTAAAAAAATTTTTAAATATTAATATATTATGCAAGAATCCGACAACTTCGAAGTGTTATTTAAAGACTTACATATATGTATTTACTTTAAGCACACAGTCGGCCAATGGGTCACGAGTTGTGAAAATCTCCGGAATTAGATTACGAAGAGTATAATGCAAATCCAAACGTTTCTTAACTTTTTCTAAATTAAATTTTGCACTGTAAATGTAGAACTTTAATCGTTTTTCAGAGATATCTGTGAAGTATAAAATAATGTTGATTATTACATACGATATGCATAAGATTTCATGAATGAAAGAAATCATAAATAAATATAAACAAATAGATTGGAATCCTATTATATTTGTCAATATATATTACAAAGATGTAACATATTAATTTTGTGAATTATTAATAATTAAACACGTAGCTATGAGATTTGGAAAAGCAATAAAATAATCCACTTTGTGGAAATTATGCGCACAAAAGTTATATACGTATACTAGATATAATAAAAATTAATATTTTTTTTATATGACATACAGTAAAATATATATACGTAACATAAATATAAATGTACATATTAATATTAATTTTAAAATAATTGCCATTTTATATTCTATAATGATCTTGTATGTTGAATTGTTAGTCGGTTATTATTCAGGAGATAGGGGACGATTCATAACATATAATATATATTTATTATAATAAACTAAGAGAGAAAATATTGTTTCTTAAATATTTAATATTTGATTTCTGATCAACTAATTCTTCGCGCATAATTTCTCCTTTTATATAAATTATGTGTATATATATTTTAATTATATTTTTATCAATACATTTACGAAATATGCTCTTTAGATTTGAAGATGATATGTAATAAATTGACTAATAAGATCTTACTTTTTTTTCTTTAAATTTAAAAATGCAAACCTTCAGGAAGATGAATTTGCTGCTTCAACCATTGTCGAAGTTTAATCAGTAGCTCTTCTAGAAGTTGTTCGTTTCCTCCAGTATCTTTTAATATTTCTTTAAATGAAGGCATTTCTAATTTAATCATCTTTATGGTGGTGTTTATTGTCCTTCACAAAATTAAAGAGGCGCAATCTAAAATTATTACATATGTTATCCATATGTATAATAATTATGAATATATTATTTTCATCGTTTTCTTTATCGAAATGTTAATATTATTGAAGATAATTATTTTTAACATATAACTTTAAAAACAATACAACTAATATGAATTAAAAAATTATGTTAAAATTAATATTAATTTACATCCATACATGACTCGCTGAATTTTTTTTTCATTTAATGAGGTAAAACGAAATGAATTAAAAATTGAATTAAAGATATTTTTGCAATTAGAAATACGTGCATCAATTTAATGTATATGTACATATTCATATGTTGAAAAGAGAATAAAATATTTATATTATTTTATAATTATAGATTATTGATAGGTTAATATTAATTATAATGTTGCTATATCTATGTACGAATATATACCTGTGATCCGGGTAGTTTAATCAAAAGGTGGAAGAGAAGACAAAGAATTACTTGACTATATTTGCTCCACACACAAAAGAGTACAAAAAAGATGTAATTTGCAAAAGAAGGAAAGCGGCGAACAAATGCTATGCAAGCAGGCCACTGCCTTGCAAGTACCGAGAATAGTCGATTCAGTGCGATGAGGACTATTAAAATCGAAAAAAGCGAAAATCTATTACTCGTTGTTTCTCGTACAGCGCGGTTTTAGACTGGCGGAAAACTTGAAGTGATGGACACGGCATCGGGTGCGTGGTTTTATACCGTCCTTCGAGAAGATTCTCGAACGATGAAAAATTAGTTTTGAGTTGAATCAAAGAAAGCAAAGAATTTTTTCGAAAGTGAGCGGTCGCTCGTGTTTGTTATTTTTCCGAGTCGGCTGAGATTCGAATTCGCAGCGAAGCGGTCCGCGCGGTCTCGGAGCGGGCGCTATCTACTACACGCGAAATCTACTGCGCGAATTATTATTCGCGTTAATTGGCGGTCGGATATTTCGTTTGATTTTGAACAATCTATGTTTAATTTAAATGTACTTTAAAAATTGCAAAACTTCTTTATCTAATTCTTTATTCTGATTGGAAGAAGAGTTGCAAAAGAAATTTCATTAATTTTAATTAATAATATAAATAATATAAATAATATAAATTTTAATTAATGAACATTATGGAAAAAGATGCAGAAGACAGGCAAAAGCATCTTATGTTGCTGTGATGTCCGATGAATTGTTTTATTGTTACTTATTGTTATTTTTTTATACTTCCTATTTTTTCTTTTTTTCCTTTTGCTGTCTCGTTTGGCTTCATCTACCTATCATTTCACTATATATGTACTAGTGCAATTTATTCCCATGTAAAATTACTATCGCGTGCATCGGTTTGGTTATAGTATCGTGTGCAATTATGTAAAAACTATGCAAATAGAAATTGCATAGAAAAATGTATTTATAATGCCAGAGAAGGGTAACGAATAGGTCGATCACGGATAGTTTCGGAGAAAAAAATGAAAAGATAAGAGGAGAAAATTTCACTAAATCATAGAAAGAGATATGATTATAATGAAAAGAATTATGCAAGTTACATAATATGTAATAATATATATTAAACGAATTAATCATCATTTAAAAATCGATTAAAATCGATATTTATTATTTTTTTCTCTTGTTTAAAATATTTATTTATACATATTAATATTTATTAAAGATCCAAAGAGCAAATGATTAAAATAATCCTTGATTATTTTAATCATTTGCTCTTTGGATCTTTAATAAATATTAATATGTATAATTATATATATATATATATATATATATATATATATATATATAATATGTATAATATTATATAACAACTGTTTTTATATTTCCATTTTTCCTTGATCACTGTTTCGTATCTCTGTTTTTGCTTGATTAATGATATTATTTCCAATGATATTATTAGCAATCATAATTTCTTTAAGTATGTTTATTCATTGAAATTCTGATCACAGCCAGTTAACTTGTAAATTTGATGCGTAAGTTGCTATCTCATGATTTAGTGATTTATATCGTACATATGTTATCTAATATGACAAAGGTTAGGTCGGCTTGCAACAATATATCAGGCTATGGCATTGGAAGGTTTTAATAAGAATATTTAAATAAGAAAAAAACTGCTTCATACAAATGTGCAAAATCAGGAGTGAAGCAATTTAGTTGCATGTTCTTTAGAATTATGTGCGCTCGACAGATAAGATAAGCTTGTATTAGATTTCTTGCTCTTAGATACATATTTATTGTTAGATACATATGATGTTTTTATATTCTTAGCTCTATGCATTAAAGCATCACTGCGTGCAAATGCACGACAAAAGGCGTATACATTCTTGTATTATTTTATTTCAGAAACTTTGTAAAATTTTGTTTTAGGTTTAAATTGATGAATTTTGCACTTATTGTTAAAATAGAGAGCATCTTAAGATCGTTATGAATATTGTTTGTTAATATTAATCGTTTTATTTTTAAAAATGTGAGCGAATGTGAGTGTTTATCATGAAATATTTGAAAAGTAATAAAATAAATAAATCCATGTTTATGTGTACGCAAGAAATTTAGTTTTAATAAAAATATTTCTTAAATGTTAGATATGTTTTGTTTATAGAAGAAGAGCTTAAACTAAAAGTTTGTATAAAAAAACTGATTAGTACTATAATTGAAGCTCATAATAAATTATTGGACTAATTGTTACAAAGAATGAAACTAAGATAGATATAAAACAGAAAACAATTGTTCACTTGATAAGTTTTAATTATAATGACTATTTTACTTTTTTCTATTGTTTCTAAATAATTATAAATGAAATTTAAATTTTTAGTTTGTATTCTTTCTCTTTTTTTTCTATGTCTTGATTTTATCATTCATAAAAATTTTAAAATTTTATTAGAACAGTGTTTAGTCTAATACACATTCTCATTTTACTTGCAAAATATTTATGCCAAATATTAATATTTATGCCAAAACATAATATTTATGCCAAAATGTTTTCTTTATTTAAACATTTCAAATAATTAGTATAAATGAGAATTTGTTTTTTTATTTTTGATATTTGATTTCATATACGGAGGATGAAGGAGAAATTTATTTATTTATGTGATTTAAAAAATTTCAACATAATTTGTATTATGTTAAATATAATCAAAATTGCTGTTTTTTAAATGTTATTTATTACTTTATTTTTACTTTAAAGTGTTTTAAATGTACATGTTTTTAATATCATCTTATTTGATTTTATCAAGTGACATGTCATATCGAATTCTGCGATATTTGATAACAATTTGACCAATTGGCCATGTTTTATATTTCGTATGAGTCATAGCTGTTTGTTAGCGGTCTAGATATAACATGTAGAAATCTGTGTTATATATATATTTATATTGTCAAATTAATCAATATCAAATACTTCTTAAAAAATAAAATTATTCAATACATACAGTATTAATATTTATCCAACTAGCACAATAGATGAGTTCCGCGATGACACTTATTTCCGATATGAAGCAAACACAGCACAATCGAAAACTACTGTCCTCATTGCAAATTGCGGAATTTATATTGAACGTATTCTTTATGGTACGTCTTCTTTCTCTTATTAATCGATGATACGTTATGTAAGTGGCAAAAAAACTGACACTAAAACTATCGATTGGAAACAGGTTATAAATATAAACAGAAACACTGTTATAAATATAATGAAAAAAAGACAGAAATATATAATATTTTATGTTGAATATATAATATGTTTTTGTCATTTAATGTGAAATTACAGATTATTTTGGAAAAAAATATGTATATAAAAAAATAATATATTTAAGGAAATTTTATTTCGCTGGTCACTTTTTATTTTTCTTTCTCTTTTTGCATTGTGAAATTTTCATGTAATTAATTGTTATATGTAACACTTATTTGCTACTACATTATTTTACAGGGAGATTGAATAAAAATTTTCTGTGATTTCTATTTTAATCAATTTCTTTATATAGACCAATTATTTAAACATTATTTTTGGTTATTTCTCACGTAACCTCAAAATATTTTTATATACATAAGAACACAACATATTACATGCTATAATTGAAATCGTTTAAATCAATTGCGTTTTCTGACTTAAACCTATCTTAATTTTATTCCTTCCAATTCATTTGTATTTATTGCTATTATTATTTTTCCACAGATATAGCATCTCTGTATATAATTTTGATTTATTCTGTAAAAAATTTTTAATTAGAAGTTTCTTGGCAAAGCCGATTAATGTGGTTCAATATAAGATGTAGAGTATTTAATATGATAATAATTTGGAGATAGGAATAAAGTTTTTCTTGGTAAAGTGATTAATAGTCGATAATATTACACTAATGATTACTTATTCAATGTCAGAGAAGAGAAATAATCATATTTACAATATTGAAATAATCATATTCATAAAACTTGTAGAACCTGTTGCAACTAGAAAAAATTGCATAATTAAACTTTTGTAGGCGTTTTCATCTTATCAATTTCGAAATGTCATGTTTAACTTTGCTCCATCTGAAACATCTAATTATGAATAAGTAAGAATGTTTTATATACGCTGTATGACATTAAAAAACAATATTATATTAAATAATACATATTTAATATTATATTTTTAAATCTACCATATACATTTATAAAAAATTGTTGCATTTTATTATATAAAAAAGTATATATATATATATTTTTTGTCATTGTTGAAATACACCGTGACACATATGAACAGAAGCTTACCTTGTAGCAGCTAATGTAAAAAGTATGATATTTGGTATGGTAGGCTTGCTAGAGAAAAATATATTGCTGAATATCGCAGATGTTACATCAACTACTACGAGATAAGCTTGTGTACTTATGTGTCGCAGTGCATTCTGACAATGACTTTACCGATGTCAAGAGACAGAGTAGTGTCTTGTGCTAAGTCCCGCGTAAGCAACAAGATATACGCTCCGTGTATATTTATGCGAGTCGGATAGTTGGAGATATTCGAGATTATCATATTGAAATAATCGCTGAATGGATCGAGTTCTTACTAGGCTTAATTGATAGCTTGAGCTTGATTTATATGAGAAAAGTGTCTTTATTTTTGCTCTATGCATCGTGAACAGCAATATTATGATCTAAAGTCGAAATATGAAAAATTTTCATTAAGAAACGTCTCCTTGGTCAACGCTCAAGTCCCCAATGCGCAAGCGTACAAAGTTGTTCACAAGTAAAATATTTATTTCTTGATTATCTTACCTTAATACTTTTATGTACAAAATAATGAGAGCAATCAATTGGTGTAAAAAAAAACACATAATTGTTCCGAAGAAAAAATATGTAATTTGCAATTAACAATTACATATTTTTTCTTAAAAACAACTGTGTGTTTTTTTTACACTAATTTATTCCTCTCATTATTTTGTACATAAAAGTATCAAGGTAAGATAATCAAAAAATAAATATTTTATTAGATATTTTATAGTTTATGTAAAATTACGATATTATTTTAAGCCTTATAAATCGAAAAGTACTCAATACAAAAATACTTTATTACAGTGTTTTGGAAAGCTCTCGACATAAGCTATAAAAATATGGGATAAAAAATAGGTGGTTCCATTTAAGAAATTAAAGATGTCCTTGACCTGACCTTAACGATGCCATCCAAGGTCAAACCAATGACATCATCTTATGTTCTCCTCAAAACCATACAATTTTTGTCGAAAACGTTTTTCTCTAAAATCTTAGTTTTTGAAAGAAAAGAGGTGTACGGTTTCTAATGACATATTGATTTGTAGTTATCCGTTATTTTTGCAATAAGAATAGCAAAGATGTTTGAAAGTTCTGAATATCTATATAGTAAGCAAAGAGGACCGTCAATTATAATGAAATATGACGGGGGTGATGGCGGATTCTTTGCTCATTTATTTAAAGATGTT